TGAAGGGGCGCATATTGGCCAGTACCTGACCGGGACCCGTTCTCCCCCCAGCCTCCATAGAGGGTGCCCCCCAGCCCACCATGCTGGGGCTCTTCAGGCATATCCTGTCACGGGAAGGGGTGCTGGGCCTGTACCGGGGCATCGCCCCCAACTTCATGAAGGTGATCCCGGCCGTCAGCATCAGCTACGTGGTCTACGCGACACTGGATCCCACCGGGGAAACCCTCCAATCAGCACCCCCAGCTCAGCACCGACACTGGATCCCACCGGGGAAACCCTCCAATCAGCACCCCCAGCTCAGCACCGACACTGGATCCCACCGGGGAAACCCTCCAATCAGCACCCCCAGCTCAGCACCGACACTGGATCCCACCGGGGAAACCCTCCAATCAGCACCCCCAGCTCAGCACCGACACTGGATCCCACCGGGGAAACCCTCCAATCAGCACCCCCAGCTCAGCACCGACACTGGATCCCCCGGGGAAACCCTCCAATCAGCACCCCCAGCTCAGCACGGACACTGGATCCCACCGGGGAAACCCCCCCAGCTCAGCACCGACACTGGATCCCACCGGGGAAACCCTCCAATCAGCACCCCCAGCTCAGCACCGACACTGGATCCCACCGGGGAAACCCTCCAATCAGCACCCCCAGCTCAGCACCGACACTGGATCCCACCGGGGAAACCCTCCAATCAGCACCCCCAGCTCAGCACCGACACTGGATCCCACCGGGGAAACCCTCCAATCAGCACCCCCAGCTCAGCACCGACACTGGATCCCACCGGGGAAACCCTCCAATCAGCACCCCCAGCTCAGCACCGACACTGGATCCCCCGGGGAAACCCTCCAATCAGCACCCCCAGCTCAGCACGGACACTGGATCCCACCGGGGAAACCCCCCCAGCTCAGCACCGACACTGGATCCCACCGGGGAAACCCTCCAATCAGCACCCCCAGCTCAGCACCGACACTGGATCCCACCGGGGAAACCCTCCAATCAGCACCCCCAGCTCAGCACCGACACTGGATCCCACCGGGGAAACCCTCCAATCAGCACCCCCAGCTCAGCACCGACACTGGATCCCACCGGGGAAACCCTCCAATCAGCACCCCCAGCTCAGCACCGACACTGGATCCCACCGGGGAAACCCTCCAATCAGCACCCCCAGCTCAGCACCGACACTGGATCCCCCGGGGAAACCCTCCAATCAGCACCCCCAGCTCAGCACGGACACTGGATCCCACCGGGGAAACCCCCCCAGCTCAGCACCGACACTGGATCCCACCGGGGAAACCCTCCAATCAGCACCCCCAGTTCAGCACCGACACTGGATCCCCCCGGGGAAACCCTCCAATCAATACCCAAACTGGATCCCAGTGGAGAGGCCTCCAATCAACACTCCCAGCTCAGCCCTACCACTGGGGAAACCCTCCGATCAGCACCACCGCTGCACCCCATTGGAGAGTCCGCCACTAGCCATTTCCCTTCCCCCACCCAGACTTCCAGTGCTGCCACTGGATCCCACTGGGGGCCGCCTCCTGCCGAGAGGAACGCCCCCCCCCCAAATAGCGTTACAAGATCCCAGCTGGAACTGCCGCAGCTCCCCCTCAACCCAGGCACTGCCCGGTTCATCCAGGGGGCTGCACCCTAAAACACCAGTGCCCAGACAGGAGCCGGGGCCCTACCTCTGCAGAGACCTTCCTTGCCACCCCACACCCGCTTCCCGTGAAGTCTGAGCTAGCAGCCTGCCCTGCCCCCCTTGCCACCCACTGTCTCCGTGTCCCTGCCTGGGGAGGAGACTTGGCACTGGTTAGCCCCCCCCTTCTCCTCTGGGCGGCCTCCCCTGCATGCACCGAACAGCTCTCCCCCTGCACAGCACAGGAGGCCCCCTGGCCTGCCAGCAACGGGTGGGACAGGGCGCAGGCACGGCATGCTGAGCAGAGGGGGCAGGGCCGTGCTGGGGAGAGGGACGCAGCCTGAGCCACACAACTGGCTGGAGGGGGGTCAGCGAGGGCTGGTGGCCCCAGGGAGTCAAGGCCAGGCCATTGATTACCCCAGGGGACGGATGCCAGGGCCGTTGGGGGTGAGCTTCCACCCAAGCAGGAGGCAGTGTGGGGCATGCCCAGCCCAGGATGCTGACTGTGTTATCCAGCAGGGGGCAGTATGGGGCATGCCCTGCCCCGCCTCACCACACCATGTTGGCCTATCCATCCAGCAAGGGGCCGTATGGGGCATGCCCAGCTGTGCTGACCTATCCCACCCAGCATGATGCACCCAGCAGCCCCCCTTTGCACACAGGCCAGAGGAGCCCATCCAGCAGGGG